TATTGTTCTTAAAACCCCTATTAATTTTATACTTTTAATTCTACACTTAAATCTTCAGAATTTATTTTTATGTATCACATAAAAAAGAAATTAAGCTTAATTTCTCCCCCAGTGAGTAGTTATCCTAGTTTTCTTTCCTCTTAATTGAAATGATTTTTTTGGGTCTTGTTTTATTTTGAAACTCCCAGTGATAGCACTGTCTGGTTTAATCAGGGGCCCTATCGGAACCAAGAATGGGAGAGGTTGATAGAGGCTTGGGTGGATGAAGAGAAAGTGGGGGGGGAGGCGGGGGCAGGGGCTATGGCATCCCCTAAGAACTGAAATCAATCCAGGGAAATGAGGCTCACTCAAGCCTGGGAAAAGATGACTTCCGTTCTTCAGCAAATCAGCCTAAGATCTCTCTGCATTCTCAAAACCTGTCCCCAACCAGCCTTCCGGGCTGTATTCACGGCAGTCCGCAGTCAACTGGCTAGCTCCAGCTACCCTCTTCATGATTTTCCTCCATCCACCCCCCTCCCTCCTTTGCTGCATTATCCTGTGTCCTTTAAGACACTGATTCTCCATCCCCTTCCTCTGTGTGGCTGCACCAACTGTAGCTGACCCAGCTAACCCCGCTGCCCCTCTGAACCCTGTTGGAACCTTTGGCCAGTGGCCAGTGCCACCCCCACCCCCACCCCTGGGCCACATGATCCTGCATCTGTCACAGTCCTTGTTCTGTGAGGAGGATGGTTTTGCAGTCAGGGCTGCTGTCTTGTCTTTGTGCTCACATATACTGGTGTGGCGCCAGGGATACACACCGTTTACTTGGTCACATTGTTGACTAAATGCATGAACAAGATTGAAGATCACTGCACTCTGGAAATGTCAACTTTGCTCTGTGGCACGGAGTGCACACAACAGAGCTGCTGAAATGTAACATCTGGGAGCTTTTCTCTTTGCAGAGGAGAGACTGTCGCCACATTTCCCAGGCACATGGGACTTGGATCACATGGTATTGTGTGAGTGGAGTTTCTGGGGAAGAGGGACAGATTCCTGGGCCAACACTGGCATCCTAGAGAAGTGTGGCAGCCTGTCTTCCACTGTGGCATAGTATTTGAGTCCCAGAGCCATCAGGAAGGTGGAGGGGATAGAGGGAAGGACATTCCAGGGGGTTTGGGTTTGGGGCTACATGCTGAACCCAATTCAGGAAATGAATGAATGAAAAGAAGTGTTTAGACATATTTTGCACAACACATGTTATATTCAGGCACATCCATCAGTGTCTTTCTCCTCTGGTTGGGGGTTTTCATTTTGAGGTCCTCACTTGCCAATGCTTTGGGGCTACTCCTGGCTCTCTGCTGACAATGGGTGGGGTGTTCCAGCAGTGCTCCGGGGACCATGCAGTGTCAGAGTTCAAACCCAGGGCTCCCCCACACAATGTGTGTGCACAGCCCTTGAAACACTCTTTCTGGCCCAGTTACATTTTCCAATGCACAGGGACAGAAGTGTGTATACCCGCTACATCTGCGTGGGTTTCCCGAGTCAAGTGGATACTTTGATTTCTTTATCTTTGCTTGGCTATAGAGGGGACTTCTTCGGGAATGGGTCTAGGACCCAGATAGCTTTACAGTGAATTGAATGATTGTGACACCAAAAATATTCCTGTGATGATTCCAGCTCTGGTAGATGGGTATCATGCTGAGGTTATTCATGAATCTGAACAGGCCTGGAAGACCCGTTTCAGAACAGAATTTGTGCCGACTTCGTATTTTTCAGGCCAGCATGTGGTGGTAGCACATGGAGAAATCTTAATTTTTATCTAAGCAAAGGGAGTTCCAAGGAAAATAGTCCTAGTCTTGTTCCCTACAAGGAAGGAATGTATAACGTTTTAGAAAGGAAGTGATACCAGTATAATCACCTTTGAGGCTGAATCTTGGTTCTGCTGAAATAATTTTAGGTGTGTGTGACTCAGTTTTTGTGTATGTGTTCACTTCCAAAGACTTGCTTTATGAAAATCTTCATTGCATATTCAAGTGATAATCCAGGTGACACTAATATTATCTTAAGGCATAAATATGTTTCAAAAAGAATCTAGAAAATTTGTAATAATTTGTAATAAATCAAATATAAGCACTTCACAGATAACATTGTGGACTTCAAAGTTGAACAACTCAGTTATTAGGGAGATATAAAGTACATATAAAGTATATAAAGGATGCTAGATTACGGACCCACCAACCTGAGCTAAGAAACAGAGTATGTGTCTAAATAGTAATTAACTCATCTATCCCACACATCACAGGCTCCCCATAATGACTATAAATGCTGCCTGATTTAATAGGATGACAGAAAACTTTTAAAGTGTCTAAATTGTTAGTTAAGAGGAATTGCTTGATCCTAGAATAAGTACTTGCCAGCAATTAATAGTATGCATGAAAATAACATTTAAGGAAAGTTGAGGATAGAAAGCATTGCAATGTTGCAACTATTTTTTACAAACAATTGGAGTTGTCACTAAAAATTATATATGGGGATAAAGCTATTTATATTGCCTTCTTAGTGTGTTTTCTGCATTTCTTTGACACTATTCTGTCTTTACAAATAATTACTCTGTAAATGGAGTGGCAATGGGGAGTAACAGTGAACAACAGAAGCCTAGGGAGTCCCTAAGCAACCCCACCTTCTCACCCTGTCCTCAACTCTTTCCTGCTCTGTTTACCACCCAAGGAAGGAATATGTGTGTGTGTGTGTGTGTGTGTTTGTGTGGTGTGTGTATAAATGTATATGTATATATATATATATGAGAATCCATAAGTAGAATCTATAATTTTGAAGATTCCAGAACATCTATACATAAATGAAATAAGTTTTCAAGCAGTTGAGAATCCTTTTTGCCTTTTTCTTTGCCTACTTAGTCAATTTTATGAAACATGAAATATAAAAAAAATCATTTTCCTTTTCTCAGATCATTTTATATTTGGATAAATGTTCAGCTGAAGTCTCACAATTCCCATTCAAAAAAATGAAAGCGGCAGAAGATTTGCCCCTGGCTCCTCTGAAAGAAAAATTTATTGACTCGGGTTCAGCTTGTCCCTTCATATACATTCACAAAAGATTGAAAACTCAATCAACTCTGGTTTAGCAAACCAGCATTTTTGAGCTTTTGGGATGAAACACACTGGTTGATTGTTAGAACAAGGTTACTTGGGGACACCAGGAACCTCTTTTCACAGATGTTCTTTCAGAAGGCAAAGCAGTGTGACAGCGTCTACGAGGGGCATCCAGCCAGATTTACCACGGCAGCTAGCAGGAGACACCGCCACCCCCATCACGCACCTCCCCACTCCTGCTGCCTTCTGAACCTTCTGTGGAGCAGAGAACACTGGAATAAAGGCGACCTTCTGACGCCTCATTCCCGGTTCACTGAGATCCTGATCACTGTGTGCTAGAAGATCTCTCTCTCTCTCTCTCTCTCTCTCTCTCTCTCTCTCTCTCTCTCTCTCTCTCACACACACACACACACACACACACACACACACACACACACACCCTGCTTGCTTGTCACTTTCATAAAATATTAGACTTTTTACTAGAATTTAAAACCACAGCCAGACAGGGAAGAACTAAAAATACAATGCATTAATACGTTAAAGGGAACTGTACATTAAATTACTCACTGTCTTAGGTTCCTCTAGTTGGCTTAAGGAGCTGGAGGACTCTTATACATAGGTATCAATGATCCTGCTTTTATTTTTTCCCTTTGGGGACATACCAGGCAGGACTTGGGGAACCTGATTGAGTGCTGAGAATCAAACCTGACTTTGCCACATGCAAGGCAAGAGCCCAACTGTCTGTCCTATCTCTCCAGCCCCAGATCTTGCTTTTCTAGGATACCCGAAGAGTTGCCTGCTTCTTAGATTCCCCAAGAGACCTGACTCAAACCCTCCATCCCTCCTTTTTCAAGAGAACAGTCTAGAGAGAGAGGATTTCAGGAAGGCTTATACCCAAGAACCCAGAAGTTAATTATGGTATATTTTCTGGCATGTGGGGGGCCTTCCAACTTGCAAGTCAACAGGCAGACGACAGATTAATCCCATATAATTTTTTTTACCAGGACTGGGAAATTAGCACAAAGGATTTGAGTGCATACTTGACACGCAAGTGCCCCAGGTTTGCTCCTGGTACCCACATGTTCCCCAGTCACTGTTGGGAGCAGTGCCACCGGGTATGGTCCCAAAACCCAAACAAGAATTTGAGGTTCAGAATTTCATTCCACCCATTACGTGCTAGATCCTTCCCTGTCCTGAGGCAGAAAGAAGAATTGCACTTTGCCATTTTTCCCTGCAGTTAGGCTTTGTTTCAACTTGTGGATCTGGAACTTACTTGCAAGACTTAAGGCTGCCTATCAACATTTATTTGACAATTGGTATCAATTCTTATCAGCCCCTGAATCTTAATCTTGTCAGCTTGCAATTTTATGTAGTAGAGAAAACTCCATATAGATTCTCAAAATTCATCGGATTATCTTTTCGTAAATTGAGTTCACACGAGAACCTCACTGACAAATATAAGAACCCCAGGACTGTATTTATCATTTCACTCTCCAAAGGTTTTTATGTTGATTCTAAAATACCATAGATTCTTAGAAACCTTAAACTCCCCCAGTGCAAACAGATTACTAGAGAGAGGGGCTCACGGACAGATTGGAGACTCAGCAGTCAAGGAATTCTGGAGTGAGAATTTAGGGTTCTCCAGATTCATTTTCTTGCTCCAGATACCAATCTGTGGCTGAAAGTCCAGCCTCTGAGTTTCTAACCTTCTCCTAACTGCTAGAAGATAGCTTACTCTTAGTAGTGCCTCGGTTTCCCCATCCTGTCAAATCGGGTGCTCCAGGCGGCCGCACAGAGGCTCATGAGGAGTCATCAGGTGCAGTTTGCTCATTCGGGAGTGAGTTTGCAGCCACGTGGGGGGCGGGGGGATGCCATGCCCTGAGTTGAATTTTCTCCTCTCCCTCCCGACAGGAAAATGGCAAATGCTGGACAGCGGCCTCCTGAACATCACCACGGTGTCTTTCTCCGACCGAGGTAAATACACCTGCGTGGCGACCAACGCCCTCGGCACCGTGAACAACACGGTCACGCTGCGCGTCATCTTCACCTCGGGAGACATGGGCGTCTACTACATGGTCGTCTGCCTCGTGGCCTTCACCGTCGTCATGATCCTCAACATCACGCGCCTGTGCATGATGAGCAGCCACCTGAAGAAGACCGAGAAGGCCATCAACGACTTCTTCCGGACCGAGGGCGCCGAGAAGCTGCAGAAGGCCTTCGAGATCGCCAAGCGCATCCCCATCATCACGTCGGCCAAGACCCTGGAGCTGGCCAAGGTCACGCAGTTCAAGACCATGGAGTTTGCGCGCTACATCGAGGAGCTGGCCCGCAGCGTGCCGCTGCCCCCGCTCATCATGAACTGTCGGACGATCATGGAGGAGATCATGGAGGTGGTGGGGCTGGAGGAGCAGGGCCAGAACTTCGTGCGCCAGGCCCCCGAGGGCCAGGAGGCGGCCGAGCACGAGGAGGTGTACACCATCCCCAACGCCCTCAAGCGCAGCGACTCGCCCGCCGCCGACTCGGACACGTCGTCGCTGCACGAGCAGCCGCAGCAGATCGCCATCAAGGTGTCTGTCCACCCGCCGTCCAAGAAGGACCACGCCGAGGAGCAAGACGGGGTGCAGCTGGAAGGCAGAGACGACCACGATGACGACGACGACGAGGAGACGGAAGCGTCGGCCGCGCAGTCCCCAGATACTGCCGAGCCTTCCACGGACGTCACGTCCACGGAGCTGACGCCCGAGGAGCCCAGTCCAGCCCCGGGGGCCGACCGAAGCCTGCCACCAGCTCCCCCGGAAAAGCCAGAACCAGCAGAGGCCCGCGACACAAACACCTGCATTATTTATGAAAGCCATGTCTGAATATCAACCCCCACCCCCACCCCCAAAGCTATGCATATCCAGAAAAATCAGGGGCTGCTCCTCGTAGTACAGACGTAGTCCGCACTTGCCGCTAAGCCTTACCAGGAGACTCTCATCCCTTAGGTAGGAGTGATGCCATTTTCAAAGGGGAAGCACCCGGGTGCAGTTGATGCGACTGGAATTCCCCCGACAGGAAAGGCTGCGAGAAACAGCAGGGTGCACAAAATAACACTGTTGAGCAGAAGGGATCCTTCTATTCGGTTCGCATTTTCCTCTCTGCCAAAGACCTTAATTGGCGGTGCCCTTTTGGCAGAGTCCGCTACTGTAAGATAGTCTGAGTTCATGTGCCCTGTCCAGACATACACTGCATTGCTTTTCCTTTGCAAAAATTACAGGTCTGCTACCGTAGCAAATGCACGACGTGGGTTTGTTGCACTTTCTTCTCCGTTTTGACTTTTACTCTTCCTTTCTAATGGAGTCCGTTGTTGCGGATTTCATCCTTTTTTTTTCTTTCTGGGTTTGTGGCTCCTTTGTCCTCCTTCTGTCCCAGAACATTTACCTCAGAGGCCCTGGTGTTGCCTAGACCAGGCTGATCTCTAAGTCATTTGTAATGTCACAAAGTAGTTACTAGACATCTCCACCCACCCCCTCCCCGCCTGTTTTCATACATCGCTGTTGTTGTTTTCAGTAAAGCTGCTGTTGTGAAACAGAAAAATTTTGCCCCGGGAATAGCACTTTAATAGCCAAATAAAATTGTGTTTACTATTTGATTTTGAGAGCCTTTTGGTGAGTTCAACCAAGATGTGGAGGGAGATTGTTAAGACTGACCCACACTACCATGAAGACTGCTGTTTAAGTGGCCTGATTCTGTCACTGAAACACGTATCACTTGCAGAGACAGGGCATCTGGTGAATTTCTGTCGGCGTAGAATGTCATTGCCTGGAAATCCCCCAAAGGGACCTTATGTCCGTGGGTTATCCAAACACCTGATTTGAGGCCGCATGTATAAAAAGATCTCTAAGGTCATGTAACCATGTCTACCTTTGTGAGTGGCATAACTACTTGGCCCTTTGATGGGGGAGAGCGAAAAATTAGAAAAATAGCAAAAGGAGCTGGGCCATCACACGTTAAGTCAAAATCACTGGCTTATTTTTTAGCCCCATAAGAAAGTTAGCTGCAGGGCTTATTGATAATATGGATGGAAAATAAAACTTGACATCTAAAGGCCAAAGTTTGACCTTACTGTGCCCATAACCAGTTTCCAGGATTGGGGCAAGTATAGGTCTCAGTTTCTTTATCCATCATGTGGGGTGGGGGTGAAGGGGAAATTAGGTGAGTTCTGAGCACCCTTTAAATCTCTCCCATGGAACCATGCCAATATTATCATCTTTGGTCTTCACAATTACTTTGGATTTTTTATCTCAGGATTCACCTAACATTTTTATGCTGTATTACTCAAAGATATATATATATATTTTTAATCATAGCATCGGTGGGGGGGGCATGCTGGCAAGATAGTACAGTGGGTAAGGCGCTTGCCTTACACACAACTTACACTGGCTCAATCCCTGGCACTCCATAGGGTTCCCCACGCCCCACCAGGAGTGATCCCTGCATGCAGCGCTGGAAGTAGGCTCTGAGCAGTGCTAAGTATGGCCCCCAAACCTAAATAAATAATTTTTTAAAATTCCAGCATTTTCAACAAGTTGTAAAAGATCATTCAGAGCACTTCTATAATTTAACTGAAGTGAGGATGCATATTACTTTATTTTCACTTAAAGGGTAGGTACTACCCTTGAAAGTACGGGGTCATGAGGTGACGGGTCCTAATGTCAGCAGTCATTTGGGACATGTTGGTATTGAGAGAGTGAGTGCGCATGTTTAGCCTCACTCTCATTCTCTGGACAAGTGGACTTGAATGTGGTTACTGACCTTCCCTTTCCCAGGGAAAATATCGAAAGTATGTCCAGTGGGTTGTTATAAGATCCTTTCTAGTACATGTATAATTTTATGGAAAGTTTCTAATCTTCCACAGTGGCTCCCGTTGCTTGAGGCAAGCAATACTGGGAGCAAAATGTAAAACATCCAGACTTGTCAACAAATGCATCCAGTTCTGTGACTGAGGATAGTGGGTTTGGCCTTAAGGTTGGTCTTGATGGGTTTCTTTATATATAACTGGTGTGGAAGACAATCTGACAAGACCTGGGGTTTGACCAAACATCTCTTTTCTGGCACACCATGGAAGTATTGCCAGTTTACTTCTAGAACATCACAGTAAAGAGGACACTGATATAACTGGCCACAGAAAGTTTTTATTTCCTAGTAAACATGAAAGTTATGCTTACACTATATTGTGGTCTATAAATGTGTAACAGTATTATGTCTAAGAAAAAGTACATAACTTAATTTTTTTAATTTTAAAAGATAATTTATTGCTAAAAAATATGAGACACAAAGTGAATGCATGATGTTACAAAGTTTAAGTGCCAACAGAATAGCTCATGTACAGGGCTACCAGAAACCTCTAATTTATGAAATGTGTCAGCTACTAAAGAGCAATTAAGTTAAGTGCAGTAAAGCCAAGGTAGGCGTGGACAGGAATGAATGGATGACAGCTAGTTAGAAGTGAGTTGGGTGGACACATAAATTAAAAATGAGCATTCAAGAGAAACTTGACCCTGTTTGGGTCTTGTGACTAGAATTTTATATATTTGAGTTGCAAAGAAGATCTTTTTCCGGTTATAAGAATACAGACATTTCCAGTTGTTACTGAGGTGTGAACAGATTCTTTTAGCATGAATTTAAAATGTCTAAAGCAACAACAGAGACTTAAGCTCATTTTGAGATCTTGTGTGGAGTTGACCCCATTCTGTTATGTTCTCATTCCTCTCAGACCCATATTATAGCTAAATTTTTGAATGAGCCAAACAGGAGAATGCATCTATTCCATCTAGAAATTGATTAGTGGCAAAAATTCTGATGTGCAGATATTTTAGGAAACAAGCATAAATATGAATCCAAAGAATGTGTCTAGATTGGTTTTAGATGCTTCAGACTTAACAGTAAGGAGAATTAGATTTTTCTAAACTTTTTCCTTAGAAGATGTCAAAAAGAATAAACAGCCAGTCTAGAAGGAGTTTACTTATACTAAAGATTTCCTCTTCCAGAAAGTGTACATTCTTCCTGTTCATCGTATAGCTGCTTTACTAAACAAGAGAGGCACTCCTACTAAAATGCAAAATGTAGAAAACCTCCTGACTTTCAAAAATGATTTTTTTTCAAAGATAAACTGTTCCAGCGTCATAGAAATTCACAGAAGTACAATTGTGCATATATGCATGCGTGCTCACACATACATCAGACTCATGGTCAGTTTTATAGGCTCAACACTGAATCTTAAATTTGTCCTTTGGACTGTGCTTGATCATTCTCAAAATTTGTCTTGATTCATCTGATCTTATCTAGCAGTTTTCTTTGCTAAAACTAAAAATGATTCTGATATATGTGCATATTTAATTCACTTTAGATGATCTTAAACTGGGTTGGCAGATATAAATAAAAATTTTATACTGAAAATCTAATTTATAATGGTTTTTGTTTTATATATTATATTTTCATATCTTTAGACACATCTACTACTCTCATCTTTTTGTATAGCATACTTGGCAAAAAGAATTACTAATACTTGACTAAAATCTCTAGGAACCAAATGTGATAAATGATGCATTGTTTTAGAAATACCTAAATGTTTTTAACCCATCGTAAGCATTATTGTGCCATGTCATTACATCCAGAACAATTTCTCTCAGATGTTATGAGAGTTCCTTTTTCATAAGTAAGGCAAAGGGCCTGACGTCCTGCCAAATTGATTCTGGATTCCCCTTCCCTTTTGTTGTTCTGTTTTTTGAGTTTTTAACTGTAGCAGTCCAAGTTGTTTAAACTTCTCTTTGATGGGCAAATGTGCGATTAGAAAGCAACTGGAGAGCAAGACTGAACTGAGCTAATGCTATGTATTTAATGGATTGATAATCAAATGTTTAGATTTTTATTTATTGGTGGTCTAGGATCTGTTCAGTTCTGTAGCAGACAAAGAATGTAAGGCACAGAAAATTTGCATGTTCTGAGCAGGCAGACTAATGTGTTGTCAACGTAGTCAACACAATCTAGCCTAACTTAAAAAAAAATACATCCTAACCTCTGGAAGAAAAAAGCAGACCAGACACCTTTTCTTCACAGATGGAAAGAGTGTTGTATCAGTGCTAAAACTCTTAACATAGCAGCACCTATGGTTCTGTTTACTCTGGGTTTCCTTTCAGTATTTCATTGGATAGTAAAGTGGAGCATTGAATTTATCCCACACACTGGGGGCTGGAGCAATAGCACAGGGGGTAGGGCGTCTGCCTTGCACACGGCTGACCCGGGTTCAATTCTCAGCATCCCATATGGTCCCCTGAGCACCGCCAGGAGTGATTCCTGAGTGCAGAGTCAGGAGTAACCCCTGTGCATTGCCGGGTGTGACCCAAAAAGCAAAAAAAAAAAAATGATCCCACACACATTCATACTCTGTTTTGTAATCAGCATAGCTAAACTTCTATACCATCACCTTTTGGCAGTACCTAGGATAAAAATTCCTGTTTCTGTTCTTGCTTTTTAAACTTGCATTGTGTTACTCTAAGTCTCATTGTATATTCACACATTCTGAGCAGTAATCTCAAAAGATGTTTGTCATTTTTACACATCTGTTCATGTAAAAATCCTTCAGTAGATAACAATGTTCACATTCCTTTTCCTAATGACTTTTTAAAGATTTCTACTTTGATTATGTTTATCAAGTTGATCATTTGTGGGCAGGAAAAGAAAAAAAATAGCTTAGAATGTTTTCCAAAGAAATGAGTGTCTGTTATATAAGAAAATATCATATGATGGTAACTGATCTTTAACAGAATTTGTAGAGGTTTATTTTTAAAGAAGCTAATACATAATATACCACAATCAAAACTGAAGCAAAGAGAAGGTAAAATCAGAGAGCTAGTAGTTCTAAGAATTTTATGATAGGATTGTTTTTTATTTTACCAGTAATAAGAGCCTTTAAATGTATCTCTTAAAGCACCACAGAACTGCTTACAGTGAGTTAGGTTCAAAGAAGATGCTTGTAATTTTATTTGGTTTGCTGTTATCTCTGGAGCCCAGTTTAATCCAAGCTCTGGATGTCCTTGTTTGAAATCAGAAAATAAAATACAAAAAAGATATCTGGGCAAAAATGTCAAACTAGGAATGTTCATTTAAAAAAAAAATAATTCAAAGATGTCAACAACTAAGTTCATGTAAAAACAAAAAAATTCACGTGATACATCCTGTATTTTGATTGTTGCTTTAATAAAGGGTTTGCACAGGTATGTGGAATGTGTGTTGTCTTTCCCACCCAGCCATCACGTAAGGGTGAGCGTGTGACTTGATTTACTGCTTCCACATTTTCTGAAAGATGCAACTGCAGAACTTCTGGGGTAAGGGAAGGAGGAAGTGAAATCATTTTTAAAACTACAAACCATACATGGCAGCTGCAGTCATGGTATGGTGGGCAGGGTATTTGTGCTTGCAGCTGACCTGACTTCCATCTGCGGCACCCCATATGGTTTGGCACCCCCTGGGCCCTGCCAGGAGCCGTGCCTGAGTGCAGGTCCTTGAGCACCACAGGGTGTGGCCCCCAACATAAATTCTTATTTAATTAAAAAAAAAAAAAACTAAAAACTTCGATTTCAGAAAGCATGGCCTTATCCTGACAAACTTCATAACTATTGACTTTTATCTATAATAAAAATATTTTGGCATACCATTAAGCTTACTGTAGATAGAGTCTAGAAAACCCAGGAGATTCATGCGTATGATACATTCCACAGGGAGAAGACATGAGTGAGAGATAGGCATGGCAGGAAACTAACCAAATCCAGGCCTAATTCAATAAATAGGTTCACTGGACACTCATAAACTTTGAAAACTAAATTTCCCTCAGGTTAAATGAGATATGGGGCATGTGTGTAGAAGGAGAGATTAATATAAAAATGGACAGAAAGCCGTGTTTTGTTCATGTCTACAAGGACAGACAATAACTGTTTTCTGATAAACTCTGCATATGAGCAAACAAGTATGCATCAAACAAAAGAGGGCTTAAGAAAATTATGGTGCCATTCGTGGAAAACATTAATGGTTGTCATGAAAGAAAAAAATAAAAACATTTTGCGCTGACATGATCATTTTTGTTGATACCCATTTTCAAACCCAGAGCAAACGTTCTGATTTTTATTTATTATTTTTTGGGGTGGTAGGTCTTGGAGTGCTGTGTTCTGCAGGTATTAGATCATTCATTTGGATATTGATTTTCTCTTTTTAAAAAATTACTTGAAAAAAATTATTTGGGGAATGTGTCTCCCAAGAGTGCTCAGCAGGTCTGGAGGCACTTTCCAGTGATTCTCAGCCAGCAGAGCCCACTTTATTTTTGTTCATTTTTTAATTTTTGCTTTTTTGGGTCACATCTGGTGATGCTCAGGGATTACTCCTGGCTCTGCACTCAGAAACTACTCCTGGCGGTGCTGGATTGGGGCCTGGGGAAGGGGGCGTATATGGGATGGATACCAGGAATCCAACTGGTGCCAGCTGCATGCAAGGCAAATGCCCTAGTCATTGTATTAACACAGTGGAGCCCAGTTTAATCCAGTCTCTGGAAATGTGCTTCTTGGGTACTGCACAGGTATGTGGAATGTGTGTTGTCTTTCCCACCCAGCCATCACGTAAACTCAGAGTCACCAAAAACTCAGAGTCACCCCAAATAGTACTTGGGGTCTCGTGGTGTCAGGAATCTAGCCTGAGACAGCCACATGCAAGGCAAGTGCCTTAACCCTTGTACTATCTCTCTGGATCCTTTTTAGTTTTTGTTTTGGGAGGAAGCTCCCACTCACATCAGACTGGAGCCAGTTGCCGGGTGGAAGAGGTTGCATCCTCTTCAACCCTGTCCTTTCTACTGCCTCGGTTAAGAGTGATTTTCAAAGACTGTTGTCGCAGAATTAGAAAATAAATGTGAGAATTAGTGTCCCTAAAAGGTAGTATCTCAGTTTTGCTTGAAATTCTCAGAAATGGGGAGCTCATTACTGTAGACAATGCCTCTCTTCATTCTTGTTAAGATTTAAGCGCTGAGTTAAAAATCTTTAAAGCAGCACCACACTGGTCCTCACTGAGTTATTTGGTGATGAGTTAGTCCTGTCAACACAGACCTAAAAGTATATGGTAAGCACATACACACGAAAGGATACAAAATTTGGCAGTGACCCCTGCTCAGTTTCATGTCATAAGGTGAAGAGCCTTATGACTAGTTTCTGCCCAGAGAAATCAGTGAATCAGGTGCTTCCCCCAATAGCTAAGATGACTTAAGGGACTCACTGATAAAGAGTGGGGGAAATGAAGGAACTAGCAAATATATTGTTTCTACAAATTAGTACAATTCTGAAAGACCATTAGGGTTGACAAACTAAAAGAAGCAAATAGGTGTGATAAGTGGTATGTTGAGATCATGATCACAACCATCCTGTTATTCGTTGATTGCCTCGAGCAGGCCCCAGTAACGTCTCCTTTGACCTAGCCCTGAGATTTTTTAAAAAGCGCCATATTCAGGACTCTTTCAGAGTTAGGAGAATGAGACCCATCATTATTACTGGTATTTGGCATATGGGTACGCCACGGGGAGTTTGCCAGACTCTGCCGTGTGTGCAGGTTACATTCGGTAGCCTGCAAGTTTGTCCAAAGTAGGAATGAGATATTAAATGCGGCCGCGCGGTTCTGGGAGCTGGGTTTTATAGTCTCTGAGTCTTGGCTGTTGATGGGATTACACGGCGCCAGGGGGCCAGTTGGTGGGTGTGACCCCCGCCTACTGGAATTCGGAGGATCTGGGTGGAGGATGCTCAGCCCCAATCCGAGTAGGCTTGGAGATCTCAGCCCCGGGACCCGCATGCCTTTGTTCCTCTACTGGTACCTTCATGTGTGAGGAGAGTGGTCTCAGCATGGTGGTGGCTGGTTCTGGAGGTCTTCGGCTGCTGGAGACCTGGTCAGGGCGGGGAGTGAAACTCAACACGCTCCCCTCCAAGGAGCCCCGGCAAGGACAGCCAGGCACTCAAAATATCTCAAAAATATGTTGAGATATTTTTCAGTATTTGAATTAGACCCAACTCCAGTTGCATTTGCACTATTGGGTCAAATAAAGACATCCAGAGTAAAAGTTTCCTAAGATACTAGATAACTATTTGGCAAACAGTTGGTATTGAAACATGAGTTTTAAGAAGCGAAAAACCTCCTTAACTGCCACTGAAATTTTTCTCATCACTGATCCATATGTTCAAAGTTCACATGGACTAGCAATCCCAGTGACATGCAGGTTAATAATCACAAGCACAGAGCGCTAACAAGAGCAGGGGACTTCAGTGGTTCTTAAAAACTGTGCAGTAGCCATTTCCTGAAAACCCTTCTGGGTCATCGGAACTGATGCATACAGGAACCCTTTAGTGTAATCAGTGCCTTCGCTTGAAGTATGATCAGTGGGTTTGCTGCCGATTTGTTCTGCGTGGACGTTTTAGGAGGTGAACAAAGTGCTCCTAAAGCATTATAGCCATCAAGGTCTGAAGATGTAAAGGACAATATGTTTAATAAGGTGGCAACATTGTTCTGTATCAGCTACACAGATAATAGCCCTCATTGTTGGATGAGTTTTCTAAGTCTTTACCCTGGCTGGCACATCAGCTATTCAGTCAGTAAAGTACGTGAGTACAAGATAGACTCTGAGAAAGCTCATCTAGAGTAGACATGAGTTTCACATAAAAGTGGTGAACTTGAATGTTCATTGTGTTTGAAATTATTTTAAAATTAATGTTAAAATTATGACCTGACTTTATATTTGTAGAAATAAATTTATCTAGGGGTCAGAGAGAAATTTATCTAGGGGTACAGGAAGTTGGGTGCTTGCCTAGCACAAGGCCGACCCAATTTGATCCCTGACGTTCCATTTGGTCCTCAAAGTACCACCATGAATGATTCCTAAGCTCAGAGCCAGGAGTAACCTCTGAGTATCACCAGGTCTGACTCCCCAAAAACAAAAGCAAACAAACAAAAAAGAAATGAATTCATACAGTGCAGAAATTTGCAGACATTTGAAGATGACTTCAGAAACTACAAAAACTTTAAGCATGTTATGGAAAAAAATAACAGCTAATATATGGGCAATCTGTGGTAAGTTTTTCAATATACAAGATACATCTAAATTGTTCATTATATGAACTATTGAAGTATATTAATTATGTTTCTACAATTTCACCTGATTTTAAAACTTTAAACTCCAATTATGTATCTCTCTCTCTCTCTCTCTCTCTCTCTCTCTCTGTCATCAAGCTAATTTTTTATGGAACTGTCTCATTCCATAGTGAATTTCAAGTTACTGGGATAAATATATTTTTCTTTATGTGATTTAAACAATTACTTTTATATTAGTGATTGTTAAATTTCATATAAGCTATCAGTAACCAGACCTTATTAATCAGACATTTTACTCCTAATTTTGAATCAGTGATTCAAAATGATTAACTTATGTATGATTATAGTATTCTATATAAATGTTCTCTGTTGCTACTGGTGAAAGATTGTCTATCATAAAGAAAGATATTGCTGAAAGAAGCAAATAGGTGTGGTAATTGGCATATGGAGGCATATCAGCCAGTAAAATGCATGATTACAAGATAGACTCTGAGAAATTCAACATAATATGCTCACAAACAGGATGTGTTAGATTTTTTGAGATAAAAGCAGGTTCATGTGCCATTGTAAGAACTAGTACAGAGTGAGATCCCTGTGCTCTTTACTCACTTGCCCCTCAGTAACACTTTACAGAAGTATTATGCTCTGTAGACTCATAATCTCACTTAACCTCCATCAGACGTCCCATGAAATGATTTAGTCCGATGACTGTGCTCAACAACCAGCTGAAATGTGACTGGCTAGGAGATGCTGAAGAGGGTGGGGAGAGGCATGGGCACGGACTCCCACAAAACCTCCAGAAGGAGGAGTATGGAAGAGCATCCAAGAGTTTAGAAAGCACCATGATTGCTTGCTGCTTGGAGCATAAGTGAACTTTCCTGGGTGAAGGATGAGAACAATTAAAACTTCTAATGTATGCTTCGTCGATTCGTCGATTGCCACGAGCAGGCCCCAGTAACGTCTCTTTCATCCTAGCCCTGAGATTATATTCAAGGCTATTTAGGAGAATGAGACCCATCATTGTTACTGGTATCTGGCATATTTGGTACGCCACGGGGAGTTTGCCAGACTCTGCCCTGTGGGCAGGTTACATTCGATAG